CAACAGCTAATAAGGACATGGTGCCATTTCCTTTTGGGAATATATCTTTCACAGATATAAAAATCTCCAGCTTGCAGTCTTCAATTTGGGAAAACCCAAAACTCACCGTTTGCTGTTCGTATATGTCCTCACATGGGACATAGTAGATGAATCTGGTCTGTTTGAATCTAGTCCTAAACATGGCTTCTTCAGAAACACAGAAGTACAGTTTTATTATATCACAAATATAATAATGCCCATGATAGGGGAAATGCAAAAGAGAGAATAAAACTTTCTTCTATAGCTCTCCCATTAAAGCATTCCAAAGGTGTTACCAGCAGAACCACAGGGACAAGTGTGTGAACTCCCAATAGGGAATATTTTGAAGATGATTAAATAAAATTTGTGAAATGTACAAAATTGATTTTTTCTGACCAAAAGTTGGATAATTCTTGAACATATCCCATATATATGTTTTCAAGATATATGTCTTTATGAAACACACATTGCTTGCTGTTGATATATATATATATATATATATACATTTTGAGACATTGTGAAATGTCCGTCTATAGTGTTTGTGTTATAAACCAACTGGTGCTTAGTGTTATTTCCAGACCAGCATAGATATACAGCAAAATCTTTTTTGTGATGTATTTTAATGATATTGTATGTTGGGGATTGTCATTTAGTTTAGTCTATACTGCAGAGTATTTGATCAACCCCAAAATGGTGACATCCATAAGAAGTTGCCATCAGCATCTTTACAGTCATTTATCCCCAGTCAATGGTAATTTCCTATTTTTCCCAAAACAGGCCAGCACAGCCAGGCAACAATGCTACAATAAAGCAGCAGTGAAAGTGTTGAGAAATTATGTTAAATATTGTCTCAAGTATATTGTTGTAGATCTTCAATATCAATTGTTTAACTACTGTGGACATATTTATACATCTTTACATAACTTATATTGCCTTCTGTCAATGTATATATGTTCTTAAGATACTGTGAAATGTCAGCCCACTAGCATTTGTTATAAACTAACTTGCACTTAGTGCTACTTTCAAACTAGTGTAGAGATACAGTAGTGTACAATACAACAAATTTTATGATGCATTTTTATTATATTGAAAATTAGTATGTCAGCTTAGTCTTTACTGTAAAGTATTGATTGAAACCAAACTGATGGTGTCCATGAGAAGTCAGCGTCTTTATGGTCATTTAACTCTAGTAAATAGCTATATAGTGGGAGAGAGCCATGGAAGGAATGTTTATTCTTCCAAATAAATTCCCACATTAAGGTCATTATTATAAGTGGCTGAAAAGAAAAGGAATGACAAACATGCTTGGTTCTCAGAGAGACTTTTATACTACTAAAACATACAAAATATATATATATATATATATATATATATATATATATATATATATATCATCCGCAGACAGACTATTTCACTGTATCACAGGTTATCAGTGTGGCTAGACATCCAGTTGCCTCTAGCTAGGATCAAAACCCGGCTGAATTGGTGCCAGTTGGAGATTTTACCTCTGAGTTGTCGGTGCACAGCAGGGATGAAGGTGAATTTAAGTTTATGTATCCCAAGTAGAGAATAATATATTATATATCTACACAGTCAAGCAGAGTGAAAGGAGAACAAAAAAATAGTATCTTACATATAATATGGAAATTCTTCTGTGTTTCTGTGGAAACCATGTTTAGGGCTCCAGATTCAAATGGGCCAAATTCATCTACTATGTCCCAAGCAAAAACATATTCTATGAACAGAAAACAGAGAGTCTTGGGTTTTCTCAAATTCAGGACAGTGATCCAGAGTTTCTTTTCATATTTGGAGAAGATATATTTCCAAAGGAAAATGGCGTTGTGTGCTTATAAGCCTTGGCACAGGCGAAAAAAAAATGCAACCGCAAAAAATGAAGGGCTGACCACTTTTGTCACTGTATGAAGTGACGTCATTAACCGGTTCTCACATGACCCCTGTGACTATCTCGACCCAAGGGAGATAATCACCTTTTGTATCCTTACAGCTATTACATAATTTCCCCCCAAATGGGCCAGCATAGTCAGGCAACAATGCTATAACAGTAAAGCAGTGAAAGTGTTCAATATAACAATGACATCATACATTTCCAGAATGTGATAAAATATCTTTATAAAAAAAGATTTTTTTTAAAGTATCTGCTGTAATCCAATTATTAATTTTTTGACTAATTTTTTTTTAGAAAGTGTAGTGATGTTAAAATAAGTCTGGTCTCCTTTACATATGAGGTATATTTGACATATATATATATATATATATATATATATATAGTTATGAAGTGACATATATATATATATTTAAGGTATTTGACATTTATATCTAAGTTATGAAAATCTTGGTAATAAGTATGGTTATTATAATGGAATCCTAAAGTGGTTTGTTTTTCTTTAATATATATATATATATATATATATATATATATATATATATATTATTTGGTTGATTGATGTGAGTTTGTGACCCTGGGTTTCACGTATTATATTATTTTAAAGCTGGTTATTTGCTTGTTTTTGATGACTGTGTATATGTAACTGGTAGAAATTTCAGTTTGTAATCCTTATTGGTTATTTTTATGGTGGTATACCAGCTTTAAAATAATAACAAATAAACTTAAAAAATAAAAATAATAGCATTTTTTACCTATCATAATTTTACACAGAATACCTATTATCAGGATTTATACCAAAATAAATAAATAAATAAATGAATATATGAAATAAAATAAAATAAAACACCAACAATCACTTTTTGGTTCAAGCTACCACCACAATAATTACATTTATTGTTTTTATCTTTCTCCCACCACCATTACTAATCACTTCTACCAATTTACAATAACTATTAATCACTTATATTATCATTGTCACCAATCCCCTTATAACATTACTATCACATCACATCTACTATTATCATATAAACCTGTTATAGACAAGCGTATGGTTGCAAGAAAGAATACAATAGAAATAGATTTACGTGATTTATTTAAATAGGAACGTGTGGTTTTGGGACAGCTACCTTGTGGTATATTTCATAGGCCAGCTGGGTTGATCTCTCATAGTAGTTCTTGCTGGTTTGTGTGGCGCTACTGCCGCTGGCTGCTGCTGACCGCTCAGCCTGACCATGACAGTTCTCTTCCCTGGCCTCCTGTTGACTGCTGTTGTACTTCTGTGTGACCCCTTTTATGGCGTTTTTTTATGGCTTAACAGGCTCAAAAAATGACGCAAGTATAATTAGGAGGGAAGCATTTTTATTGGTCGAAAATAGAAACACTTTAAAATATTATTTTATTTTTCGACCGGATCTCGTGCATCGGGAACATGCGTAAATGAAGATAATGGTCATTTTGTGACAGGGCCTTGTCCCGTTCACATCCGGCTCTCACTCTTGAGTATGTTTATTTACCTGTAAATCAGCCGAGATATGTCTTATTTTATTTTATAACAAACCAAAATAATTATTAACGTAAACTACCCCCCAGCATATTTAATACCAACAAAACCTTTCACATGACTTCAAACACTCTTCTCTGGTTAATTTAATTTTCTCCACATTTTATATAAAAAATAATTTTGCGTAGGCACACTTTCTTTTTTTTCTTGGCCCAACTACATGAAGACAAGGTTTTCAGTGGTCCAAAAGCAATTTCACATAAGCTCGCAAATTTATTTCCTCTTTCTTTTCAGCTCACCAGTCAATTTCTATGAAGGCAAGCTTTTCATTGGTTCAGAGAAAATTTTACATAGGCTTTCCTCAAACCTCCAAATTTGAAGGAAGTGGGCGAAGGAAGTTATTATTATTTCACACTCACTACAAACTTTAATATAGAAAAAAATTCTGATATGATCTTGCAATCCATGATTTGTCAAGAATATCCTTTTTTACATTAATCATTTCCCCCTAAGCAAGGCAATAAAGCCTCTAAGACATAAAGGGATATGAAAAAAATATACTATTAAGGAGATAGGACAATAAAAAAACAAGAATTATGAAGAGAGAAAATAATGATTGAAATTGCATTTAAATTTTTGAAGATCAAAGTTGAATGGGAAGCAAGAAGCCAGAAGAGAATTTCACAGGTGAGAAGTGCGAGAGAAGAAACTGTTAGCTTAGAACTTACAGTTACATCTAGCTATTCCAATCTAGTACCGCACTTAAATTTGCTTGATGTGATTTTGAAATGCAGCCGGGAGTGGAGGCTTAGCTTCCACCAAATTTTTACCAGTTGTTGTATTTTTTAGAGGGTTTTATTTCAACAAAATACAATAAAGAAAGAAATAGAAGAAACAATAGCTTAAAATGTTCTTGTTGCAGCTATTTTATTTTTTTCAGACCCAGATAAAATAAAGAACTTTAAAAAAATCCATCATTAATGAATATATATCTTCCTTGTAGACATTCAAAAAAGATTAAAATTTCTTTCATTTGTAACACTGACGGTTCTCTTTTATTTCAAAGATGATTTCTGCTAATATAGAGCTACTGGAAATTTTAAATGTTCTTACTACTAACCATGTTAGTAGCCTTTGATAACTTAAGGCTATATTCTAAATTTTTTTAAAATACACCCAATATGTCTCTGCTATGGCCCTGAAATGTCTCAATGTTTTGGCATAAAGCTGAAGTAAATTGACGAATTTGATCCTATAAAGAAAAAAAGGCAATATGTAGATGATATTTTAATTTTGATGCTACAAAGTATCCAATTTGATATAAGTAATTTTTCACTCTTCTTAAAGGCAGCTCACCTTTTTATGGCATTTTTAAACTCCAAGGGAGGTCACTCTTATTGCCAATGGGGAAGTAACTCTGAACAGTTAAAGATGGCGGCGTCCTTGGTAATGATGAGGAAAGTTCCGTTGTTGCTGTATATTTGTTTGATATACCAACTTCTGACACCGTGTTACAGCGATAATGTGGATGAATTTTTAAAACCAGAATGTGCATATGATGTGCAAAAACTGTGGATGCGGGAAGTTGCTAATTCGCCTTTCGCAGCTGCTCCGTTGATTGCCGACGTAAATGGCGATGGTCGACTGGATGTTGTCGCCGCTCCATTTTCCGAAAGCTTCACCGTTTTGGATGGTACCACGGGTCAACACCTTCCGGATACACTTTGGCCCGTCCAGAGTTTACATAGTTCGATGTATGCTAGTCCTTTACAGTATGATGCCGACGGCGATGGAATGTTTGATTTACTTTTTTGTACCAGTTCTGGCGAACTGATTTTTTACAGTGCCAATGGTACCCGTATGAAGAAGTACAAAAAATTACCTCCCACTTTCGTCCAGGACAAATGGTATCAAAAAGTGGTTATTTCATCGGCAGAGACAATTAACCAGTTCGTAAAAATGGAATGGCCATCACGTGAAACTGATTCTTCGAAATATCTTCAGGTTTCTCCACACATTCTTGCTACGCCAGTTATTGCCGATTTGAATCGAGACGGGGTGATTGAAGAAATTGTCATACCTGTCAGCTATTATTATGATGAAGATGAATACCGACTGGCACAGCAACTCCATAAATCTCAGAAAAACACTACGGTGGCTGACCTGGAGAAATATCTAATAGGTGGGGTGGTCTACTTAAATTTGACCAGTATGGATGTTATGCATACAGTTTTCTTGGAACTTTCTCAAATGACAGCCAGTTTTCCAGCCTACATTCTCTTCACTCCAACAGTCATTGACTTAGACAGTAACGGTGGGGATCTGGAAACTATCACTGGAACTTCATCTGGAAAAATCTATGCTATTAATAATGGAGGACAAATAAGATCTGGCTTTCCATTATCTTTGAACACCGTTCATGGACAACTGACAGTAGCAGATGTAAACCATGATGGTCAGTTAGAAATAATTGCTGTGGATACAAGTGGAAATGTGGCTTGCTTTGACCGGACAGGACGAACCCTATGGGAAAGTGAAATATCAGGGAGCTCCTCTTCAGGAACTCGACTTGCAGATATAAATCAAGATGAAAAATATGAATTACTGATTACGACAGATAACGGTGACTTTTATGTCCTTCATGGGATCAATGGGAGTATTTTTAAAGGTTATCCCCAAAAGTTAAACAGTGATATTTATGCTAACGTTCTATTGTCACTTCTTCATGATGAAGATGTACCTCTATTTTTTGCATTACCTTCAGATGGACATCTCAACATAATCTCTACAAATCTAGAATGCCACACAAAGGTCAACATTGCTGAGTCATCACTTGTCCAGATTCTTTCACACGATCTGGTGCCCCAGACAAAAAACATGGAGTTACTTGTTGCTACAAAGGATGGGACTATAATTTGTTTCAGCGTTAGCCAGCCTTACATTGAGAAAGAAGAAGATTATAGTACTGAAATAGCAATGCTGGCTTCCCTTCCATCTGAGATGAAAAGTGCTAATGATTTTGTGTTTCTCTTCCACAAGCCTCGGGTGGAAATAATGAAGCATACAAAAGATGCTATTGATATCATGGGCAGTTACTTCCGACTGGATTTTAAAATTACAGACCCAGATGCAGGAGACAAAGGCAGGCCTTATGATATTCGCGTGTATTATGGAAGCCATCTTCTGGTTCAATCATCATATGAAGAACCTGGCCAGTATTCATTAAGTGTGCCAGTTTGGCTGGAACCAAGCCAGGGTCATATTGTTGTTGTTCTGACCAATCAGCATGGACAGATATTTCAAGATAATTATTCAATTAAGTTTAACAAACTCATTCTGCAAGATTTACAATGGCTACTTATTAGTCCTTTTGTTGCTATGGCTGTTATTTTGCTTGTAATCCATGGCTTTCCAGCCAAAGACCTTCTTCCTTTGACAAACAAAGATAAAAATCGGTGAGACTCTTCCATTCCCAGAGGATAATAAGAAAAATTGCTGTTTACCTATTTAAATACTCAAATATTAATTTTATACATTCCAAGATTTATATTGGCTTTGTTTTTTTTTTTGTTTAATTTCATTGAAGTAAGATAGGTGCAAGTAAGTGACCCCAGATAAGTAATATGTAATCTCTAGCATATTATATTCGACATTTGACACTTGCCTCAGTTTAAAATAAATCCATATATATATATATATATATATATATATATATATATATATATATTGCCTAAACATTATTTTTAGTGGATACCTATATTTGAGTGCATGCTCTGTTTATTTATTAAACACTATTTATTTATTTTCATCTATTGGACTTAATATTCAAGAAATCTCTTAAAGAAAATATGTGCTCTTTAATAAGATTTCTTAAATATTCAGGCCTGTAGACAAAAATAAATATACTGTTTAACAAATAAACTACAGGATGTGTGTAAGATATAGTTTTAAGGTATGCTATATTTATGGATAAAAACCAGGAATAGAGTGTATGTAAATATAAAAGAGGGCACTGAGATGGTCAACACCAAGTGGTAACAGTCGTTTCATGTACATCTTTTTATATATATATATATATATATATATATATATATATATATTAACCTATGAACAAAATAAACTATGAAATCTCCACAAATATTCTTAAATGCCTATAATTTATAACAGAAGCCATTGGTTTATCCCAACGGCTTCCCATACTTAATACTTCTCGTTTTCACTCTTGTGTGGTCACGTGTGACGTCACAAGCTGTGACGTGATTTTTGCTTCCACGTCTCGTAAACATGAGTTTGTTTTTGCTTTGAAATTTTTCATGCAGCAAGAGTGAACTATCTTTCTTGTTTCCTCCATATTGAAATTGTCATCTTTGATAATGGCTTATGTAAGCCGAAAGCTTAGATTGGATTTAAACATGTATCAATATGGTGTTTTCCTTTCGTCTTTCAATGATAATGTGATTAAGCTTATCAGACAATATGAAAGGAATAAATAGACAAAACTTGTGTATATTATTTAATGAAACATGCATTAATGAAAAATTTCTGCCTAAATATACACAATATATATATATATATATATATATATATATATATATATATATGAAGAAATATAGTCTTAAGATGTGCTATATTTATGGGATAAAGTACTCAATATCAGAGATAGAGCATGTGTAAATATAAAAGTGAACATAGAAGTCAACACTTAAAGGCGACAGTCTGTTTCATGCTAGATGCAATCGTCAGGCCACAAATATATATATATATATATATATATATATATTTTAGGATATTACATCAACATGTTAATAAACACTACATAAATGCTTATCATGTTTTGATATGTCCTTATACAATTCATCAGGCATTATTAAATGACTAAAAAAAAGACAAATTTTGAAATTTAAACCCCATAAAACCTCTTTTCAATAAATTGTTTTTTTTGTGTAAAAATTAGTCATTTAATAATGCCTGATGAATTGTATAAGGACACATCAAAACAGGATTGCATTTATGTAGTGTTTATTAACATGTTGATGTAATATCCTAAAATAAAGAATTTTGCTCTACTTTTTGTATTGAGCCCTCTTTTAAATTAATGTTACGAATGTTGGAATTTATATTCAATTCATTCTCATTTCATATATATATATATATATATATAGGGAAAAGTTTATGGTTGTACCAACAAGAGAAAAGTGTATACTTTAAAAAAGAGAGAAACCGCAAACATTTTTGGTTATAATATGGAGGTGTTTTAGTGTACATATTATATTTTATTCTTCATATTAATATATATATATATATATATATATATATATATATATATAAGGTCAACATGTACCTCCATTTATTAGAATTAATCATTCTAATCACACTCTTGTTCTGCAATTTGCGCATGAATCTGCAATTGGACAGCATCTTTTGGAGAAGGAGTTATGCTCTTCCAAATTTTCTATTAATTCATTCTCTATTTTGCATAGGGCTCATTCCAAACACCATTTACAAGTGTTAATATACGCTAAATTATATATTGTTTATTATATATATATATATATATATTATATATATATATATCTATATATATATATATATATATATATATAATATAGACTATATATATAAATATATATATATAACTATTCTATATATATTTAAAAATGAAATGAGACTGAATCAAATAGAAATTCAAACGTTCATAACATTAATTTAAAAATAGGGCTCAATACAACAGTAGAGTGATAATTCTGTATTATAGGATGTTACATTCGGACATATGTAACTGCTACATAAATGCATTCATGTTTTGATCCACATCAGCGCATCTTGTCAGGTGCTGATATGCATCAAAATGTGAATGCATTTATGTAGCAGTTACATATGTTTGAATGTAACATCCTATAATAAAGAATATATATATATATATATATATATATATATATATATATAAAAATTAGGAATCACTTACACATCCACTATCATGGTTTCAACCATTAAGGTATCTTCAGGCAGTAGATACTAGTTAATTTCCTTATTTTATTTGACTGCTTACTTAAATTTCTAAAAAAACATAGCAAAATACACTCAAATTAAAAGTAATCAACCATGGAACAGGTGCAAATATTATATTTAATAGATTGTTGGTCAAAATTGAGTCTGAATATATATACCTTTTATTTTAGATTTAGCAAAAAAAAGAATTTCACCTGTACCAAAAACGGACTATTTGGATTTACCAGAATGTGGGTCTTGGGTGGAATCCCAAAATTTGGTAGGAGTTGGTACTTCATGCATTACTTAGAAGATAAAACTCTACAGACAATGGCTCTATTCTTTCAGTGATGCTTGTGTTTTATTCTTGACCACAAACTGTCCCTTTATTCCTGATTTTCAATGCATTATTCTAATAAAATCATTAGCCATGCATTTACATTATACATATAATAGCCCTTTTTTCTCAGAAAGAGATTTGCATTAATTCTTGACCCCAGACAATCCCTTTCTTCCTGATTTCCAATGCATTTATTGTCAAAGCATTAGCAATGCATTTCCATTATACATATAATAACCCTATTGTATTAGTAATACTTATATTAATTCCTAACCACTGATAATCCTTTTCTTCTTGATTTCCAATGCATTTAAAGTAAAATCATTAGCAACGTTTTTTCCCATTATCCATATAATAACTCTGTTCTATCAGTAACACTTGCAATCCTTTTCTTTCTAATTTTCAATGCCAAAACTTGTGAAAACAAATTTTAGATTAAAATTTCATTGCTTAATCATCAATTTCTTTTATCCTCCTACCAGAATTATTTAGTTTGATAATACAGAAAAATGACTACAGCTACATTAAGGAGTAGCTGTAAAGTCAGTGGGAAGTGATTGCTGATGTATATCAGGTTCAAAGCAACACTAAAAGACAACAATTACTATTGATATATTTTTGTTCATTGCTTTTAAAATTTACTGTCACTCTGTATTTACCTTTCAGTGGGAAATCCTTATTCCAAATACCTCTTTGATGAAATATTCTGGAAATTTCCTATTACCCCTAAATATAAATTCTTGAACAAAGCATTTCATTTGAATATTTATTAATAAAAGGTGAGAGTTCAATAAGAATGTTCTGGGTGGATTTTTCTCAAGAGAATAAACATTTACACTATTTACATTGCTTGG